ATCATGCTTTGGGCCATTTGGGCCAAAATTGTAACAAGCAATTGAAGAAACTGCACAGAATGTAACCTTTTTACAAGCTGCTATTTGAAGCTATGTTTAAAATAAAACTCTTAAAATTACAGATGCATCTGAGTCTTTTCCCTTGTCAATGACGAGTCCATAAATACAGAGCATAAACAAAAAGGTCCCGCTCGCTAAGCCAAGTAGTATAAGCTGAGGGGAAAACAGCTAACACCAGTGCAATGTACTGTTGCCCAGCACAACCCAGTGCCAATTTGGTAATGCCAACTCAATCACAATTCAAGCGGCCGGGGGGGGGGGGAGCATTTTTGCAAACCCAGTACATGTACAGAGTGCCCAGCAGGATCCAGTGACAATGTGGCATTGCAAGCTTAAAAGGGCTGATCTCAAAGCACAGTCACAAATCGAAGCAAACTCTGTGCAAGAATCTGGGAAGTAAACAATAAGGAAAGCTGCAAAGGGGGGGGGACTCTCTTGAAACTGACATGACTAGTTTGAAACTGACAACAGTGTTTCCAAGGGTGGATAATTCTGCTCCCCTCCCCCTTTCTTTGAAGTTTGGTGAACATTTTGTTTGATCAGAGACTGTCTGGAAATGTATGCATTCACAAACCAGCAGGGAAGTTCATGGAAAGTTTGTGCTGGTTGACATGCCACAACTCGAACCATGCATTTGAGACATATGAAACATTTTTGCTGTATGAAAATTGATTGCCATGGTTTATTGCATAGCAAGAATTCACTGTATCAATACACAGATTATTTCCAAGATCAAAACAGCAGAGACTAGAGACAGACAAGTGTTGAAAGAGTTTTGAGGGAGGATTCATTCCCCATAATATATGTATATATTTCTTTTGTTCGTTTATTCAGACAAAGCCTTAAATAAAATACAAAAATTCACAAAACCTGTTTACTAGATGCAAGAGTTGAATGAATGTAGCATTCCTTTTTAGTCACCTTCAGTCCTCTGGAAAAACTATTGTATATTTCCCACACTACTGATCCCAAATGCCTTCTGTATGTGCTGTCACATTTAAAAAGAAACCATGTGGATTCTAAAAATTGCACTAACTACTTCAGTTCTTCACTTCATGCCTAGCACAGAGGTTCTAATATGGTACCACTTTAAACTTGGAGCATTTGGTAATGATTATATATGTCTTGTAGGCCACTATGTGGTGAGGAATAAGGCATAATTTAGTTGGATGAGTCTCCCAGGAGAGGACAGTTCAGTGAAAATTTCTTAGTTAGGTATGTTGACTTAAAATGTATGATTTGTACATAGCAGGAAGGAGCAGGTGGCTGAGGTCTAAGCTTTGCGCAGGGTTATGTAGATAGTTTAGGGTAGCGAAGGAAGCTTGGACACCAGCTGAAGGAAAAATGGGAAAGAGGATAATAGTTGTTGGTACCACATGGGAAGTTATTAATAGAGGGAGGGTGCTTTGGTAGGTGGACTATGTGGAGTACAAGCGACATCTTGGGTGCTGTAGCCAGTTCTGGTTTTGACAACTCATGCTTTCCTTTATTAATGAGAAAGAAAATAGCTAACATAGGAGATGCTGTTTTTGCTTGCAATTCTCCAGGGACTATGCCTGGGGCTTGGACAATGGCAGATTTCTACACCAAGGCAGCGGTTCCTATAGGAGACGTTCACATGGCAGAGTCTATGGAAAACGTTCCAGCAGCTTTTATAAAGGTCCTAAAAGCTGTTCCTTGAAAGGTTGGTTGTTGTGATAGGAGAATGAAATGATCTGTGTGTAACCTAATTGCCAGGATATAAATTTCAGTATAAGTAAATTCTACAATATATATTCCAGACAGAAACAGAAAAGTCAGATCTCTGGTTTCATTTGGGTTTCTTTATTTCAGGAGTGTTAACCTGTGTTATATCCAGTAGGGGTGTGCATTCAGTTTGGCCAAGCTGGAATAAAACCCTGTATAAAGCCTATACGACATAATTCGGGCTCCCCAGACGGTGAATCAGATTCTCTAATCTGATTTGGCTTCCCGAATAGATATCGCCATATAGAAGCCAAATCTATTTGGCTTCTATATGGCAATCCCATTCCCGGGGCAAGCTGTCTAGGGAAAAGAACACGGAGGCATGTTTAAATGCCTCCCTGATCTCTCAAGCCTTCTCCAGCTGGCCTGCAGCTGCAGGTCAGCTAGAGAAGGGATGGGGAGGCATGTTTAGATGCCTCCCTGATCTTTTCTCTCTTGCAGGCCAGCTGGAAAAGGGAAAAAAGATTGGGGAAGCATTTAATTCCCCCCCCCAAGTCACACAGGGGGATAGCAGGCTTCCCTCATTGAAGGGAAAGCAAATTGCCTTCCCTTCAATTAAAATAATGTGCTGCTTCTGCGGCGTGACTCCAGAGAGGGGGGATTTAAACTTTAAACCCCCTCAGTTTGGAGTCATGCCACAGAGGTGGCAATGCTCCCTTCGTTGAAGGGGAGGCAATTCATTGAAGGGGAGGCTGCCACAGAAATGAGCAGGTCTGTGCTGCAGCCAAGCAGGCTGAAGTGAAAGGCCTCAGCAGGAAGAGACTTTTGGAGGATCTGATATGATGAACAGACTCATAAGATTCAAACAAGTAAAAAACTACGATATAAAAGCAGCACTACAGACACACACAAATTTCAGGCATACATTCAATGACACTCTTGTGCCTGATGACCATCTGCCAGCTCCCTGGTGTTTGGTTTGATTCCTGTTTGCTGTGCATCACTTTTTTAAAGGGCTCGTAGGAAAAGATCTAGGATTTTATTCCCTGTGCAAGGGAATATTTTTCACTTGCTGTTCGAAGTCATTGCAAGTGGGGAGAAGGGGTTTTCCCTCATCCCCCCCCCCCAAGTTCTGAATGTTCCCCTAAGAATGACTGCTGTAGAGGTTCTAGAGTTCAAACATGCCTGTAATCTCCTCTATCCTAGATGCATGTTTGCTGTGGGCAGCTTCATGTTTAAACATTAACTTCACTCATGCTCAAAGCACTTGACTTCTTATTTCAGAGGAGCTTCATCTCAAATACCTGTCATATGTTTTCTATTCAGATGAAAACGAAATTAAAAAACACTAAAAATAAATCAAATCCCTGAGTTCCAGGCCAAAATACAAAGCAAATGGCAAGGGTTCCTATAGTTACCATTACTGGAAATGTCCTGGATTTGGAGGAAGTGTGTTCTGCCAAGGGCCAGTTCTGCAGCCAAGCCACCCAAGTGACTGGCTGGGGTAGCAGAATGAGGAGGATGCTGATATGCTGCAGGAGCTCAGCTTGTTCCCCAGGCATTGATGGTATAGGAGGCAATTGGCTCTGCCTTCTAGACTGATGCAGCCACTGGCAGAGTCCACATGATGCACACACAAAAAAAATTGGTATTTCCTGATATTTCTGAATCTTGGTATTCTGGAAATATTCGAGATTGCTGAATTTTTTCAGCATGCAGACCTGGGTGGGACTTTCTGTCCTGGGGGTTTAAACTGCCAGGCAGAAAAAACTGTCCCAAGGAGCAGCATGGAGCGGGGAGGGCTCTCCCTATTGCACCCAGACCTGGCTTGGAGCCTTCTCCTGCCCAGCAATTTAAACCGCTAGGCAAGAGAAGCTGGTCCCAGGATCTGCATGCGACGGAGAGGTCTCTCCCCTGTCACACACAGACCTGACTTGAGGAGCCCACCAGCCGAGGTGGCATTGGAGCTCTCTGCTCCTGCTGCCCCAGCAGATCCTCTCCTTGGTATAGCTAACCTGATTAAAAGGGGGGGGGGCTTTTATTTGGGCTCAGCTATATCGGTAGCCAAAAAGAAACTATAATTTCGCCTTTAAAAAACCCTGAAAAATGCCAGTAAGGTATTTTTTTTGGGGGGGTGGGGTGTTCAGGTAAACCGAATGCATACCCCTACATGATGCCATAGGAGCTCGGCTTGGACTTGGCTGGTGCCCTCTTTTGTACTGCTTCCAGTTCTGCACCATGGGAGGAGGCAATGAGTCCTTGCTTGGGGTGACAAAATACTTGATTCTACCCTGTATCTAATGTTTAAGATAGAAAGATCATGACTAGAGCCTTGCTGTGGAGGGCCAACAGCAGGGCATAGAGGCCAAGATTTTCTCTTGGTGGCATTGGTATTTACTACCTCTGAATGTGGAAGTTCCCTTTTAATCAGTACCTGAAGGCTGAGTGAGAAAGAAAAAATTAAACAAAATATATGGAAATTTATTCCAAAGTGCACTAAAACTATACTTTAAAAATGTAGGCACATTCGGCCCTTGAAGCAATGCATATTTGGACTAATTATTTAGCTAGCTCCCTTTAGTCCTCATGGTTAGTAGCCACTGATAGACATGTCCTCCATCAATCTGTCTAATCCTCATTTAAAGCTTGTTTGTGCTTCTGGCCATCACTACATCATCTGGTAGTGAGTTCCACATTTTAATCACTTGTTGCATAAAGAAGTATTTCCTTTTGTTGATTCTGAATCTGTTGCCCATCAGCTATAGTATGTTTTATGTCCTTGTGCATGCCCTGAAACAAGTAACAAAGCATCCTGAATCGAGAGGCTTTTGTATTGTATTCTGTTTCTTTATCTGCAGGCAAGGATCATTCCAACAGCTCATCACGTATCTTGGTAGAGATGCAGGTAAGAAATTAACCTATACTGTATATGGTTCTACTGGCAGGATATGGTATCCTGCAATTGTGGCAGAGATCAAGGATAGTCTGATATGGGGGAAAGTTGGGGGCAAGATTTCTCATGCATATGTGCCCAGAGTTTGTATGGCTGAAGAAGTTGTAATCAATATAGATTATGACTTTGCATCCTACAGCCAGCTTACTATTGTGTCCCTTTATGGTATTGTTCTAGGAGGGCCAGCTTTTTATCTGTAGGGCTCCCACGTCTTAACTGCAAAAATTAGCAGGAGCAGCTTTCCCGTTCATTTCACTGCCATGCCAAGAAGAGCTTCATCTGCTAAATATTTTCATATTAGATGGTTCCTAAAGGAACAGAAGCCCTAATTGAACAAGATTTGGGAACCATAGACACAATCACACAACCTTTTGTTGTTCTACTGCAGCAGCATAAAAAAGAAAATGTTTCTGAAGTGAAGGAAGATGAATCAGCAATACCCAAGGAGACAAAAGCCCAAGAAGATTCTGTAGCTTCAGTGGAAAACACAGATCCACCCCAGGTAATTATGGGGGAATGCTTTGCTGCCAAACAATGGTTCTACTGGCAGGATATGGTCTCTTGCAATTGTGGCAGAGATCAAGGATAGTCTGATATGGGGGAAAGTTGGGGGCAAGATTTCTCATGCATATGTGCCCAGAGTTTGTATGGCTGAAGAAGTTGTAATCAATATAGATTATGACTTTGCATCCTACAGCCAGCTTACTATTGTGTCCCTTTATGGTATTGTTCTAGGAGGGCCAGCTTTTTATCTGTAGGGCTCCCACGTCTTAACTGCAAAAATTAGCAGGAGCAGCTTTCCCGTTCATTTCACTGCCATGCCAAGAAGAGCTTCATCTGCTAAATATTTTCATATTAGATGGTTCCTAAAGGAACAGAAGCCCTAATTGAACAAGATTTGGGAACCATAGACACAATCACACAACCTTTTGTTGTTCTACTGCAGCAGCATAAAAAAGAAAATGTTTCTGAAGTGAAGGAAGATGAATCAGCAATACCCAAGGAGACAAAACAAGCCCAAGAAGATTCTGTAGCTTCGGTTGAAAACACTGATCCACCCCAGGTAATTATGGGGGAATGCTTTGCTGCCAAACATCCTGTGGTTCTTGTGGAAGGTGCAGTACCCTCAGTCCTAGTTTCTAAGTTCCTACAGATCTGATGAACTATAGAAGGATGTGGTGCTTGAGAGAGGGGAGTTTTATGCATGAACTGAAAGGAAACATGAACTATACCTCCACAGAGATTTTTTTGCCCCTGCATGAAGCCCCCACAGTAAGTAGAAGCATTTAGATGACATTGTGCCAGTGTAAGCAGAACTTATCTGGTTCTCATTTTCCCCCTGTAAGCCAAAGAAAATTAGACCAAAGGAGAGACTGTGGGATTTGTGCAGATGGAGGTACTTCTTGGTGTCCTTTTAAAAGCCATGAGGCACACAGAGGGGATGCAGCTGCTGTTCTCTGGCTCCTCTTGTGTGTGTAAATGCTTGAGTCCCGCCCCCCTCATCAGGTAACAGCAGGGAATTGAAAAAGATGGGGGAAATGGTAAAAGGAACAGGAAGAAAATCCTGTCAAAAATCTGGCAGTCCTTCTCTCATCTGTATAACTTCCAGTGTTCCTTGAGACAGACAACACTTTTCAGTATATCTTCTCAGAGCCGCAGTGGCTCTGGAAGCAAATTTAGAACAGACAGGAGAAATGTCATCTTATTTAATCTCTCGCTGTTGTTTAATTCTTCCTTTTTCATTTCTATTTGAAATGTCCTTAGGTTAGTCAGGAGGCCAGCAAAGCCATCATCTCTCCTTCACAGTTCAGTTTTCGTTTGCCTCCTGACTCCTTAACATATCCAATGTGCAGTTCCGCAAAGACAGAAGACACTGAGATGGTATGATGAATTCAGTCAGTTTCTAAAATTAGTACGGTTCTAGATCCTCTACTCATTGACAAAAGCCTCAACTGGCTCTCTGTTTTATAAAGAGAACTATGAGGATTCCTCACTCAATTTCCTTCTTTCTACATTCTAAGAGTCTGTACTATTTCTGTTATCTTCCACATGGCACATGTATTTCAGTATCCCACTTCCCTTGCTAATAACTAGATCTCAGTGTGGCAAAACTATATTCAATGCTAATTATTGTTTAAGACTGTCTAGTGTGGATTAAAGGGGTCGCGGTGGCTCAGAGGTTAAGACGCTGAGTTGCAGACCGGAAGGTTGGTAGCTTGGCAGTTTAAAACCCGAGTGCCACGTGATGGAGTGAGCTCCCGTCTCTGGCCCCAGCTCTTGCCAATCTAGCAGTTCAAAAGCAAGAAATTGCAAGTAGATAAATAGGTACTGCTTCGGTGGGAAGGTAACAGTGTTCCATGCGCCTTGGTGTTTAGTCATGCCAGCCACATGACCACGGAAAAAGTCTTCGGACAGCTCTGGCTCCTCGGCTTGGAAATGGAGATGAGCACCGCCCTCTAGAGTCGGATTCAACTGGCTTTCGAACAAGGGAAACCTTTACCTTTACTAGTGTGGATTAGAACCAGTATTAAGCAAACTTTCTTGCCTTGTTCTGATGGGCTTCAATTATCTTTACCTTTTCTCTACCTGCTCTTGTGTAATCTACAGTTTATATAATGTGCAATGCTGTGAAGGTTGAAGGGTTCAAAGAAGACACAAGACAAACATCTGCAGAAGCTGCTGTGTAGCTCTCTCACTCCGCAGCCTTTTTATTAAGAATCGCTTCCCCCTTTTCTCCCCCCCCCCTTCTCCCTCCTCCCCTTCCATGCATATGGAAAGTTACAAGCACTACATACTGTGAGCTATGATAACAGGAATGTGTTGTGCAGACAGCCCACCTTCTTTTCTGAACCCCACCTTTGCCAAGTCTCTTCTCTGATAGTGAGAAGGCAGGATGTTTACCAGTACCACCTTGCACACAACTCCCCTTATCTTTCTGTGGGAACATAATCTCCGGGCTTGCCTCACAGAGAAAACTGTTCCTACAATGCTGTAATGTCTCAGGGTGGGGGTTGGAGTAGAAAGGGTTCAGAAACAAATGTCATATGACAACTTTTATTGGGACCAACCAGAATTTCACAAAATAGCATGTATACTTTTTTTTAATCCAGAACTCTGAAAAAGAACAAAGGGGTCATGTGGGGGGGGGGAATGTTTGGCCACAGTGTTGTGGCATTTTCTCTACATCACGTACAGGGAAAGTTGTAGACTTTTTTTTAAATTAACTTTTTATTAATTTACCATACAAAAGTTAAGAACATAAGAACATAAGAGACGCCAATGTTGGATCAGGCCAAAGGCCCATCCAGTCCAACACTCTGTGTCACACAGTGGCCAGAAATACCAGTGCCATCAGGAGGTCCAGCAGTTCAACTGGGTACAAAGTCAAACAATGTCAAAAATTGTAATAAACAAAGCTTCTATCTAACAAGCAAACTACAACATAAACTAAAACGTTAGCCTTATCAATAGTACTTTTTAAATCACATATTATTTACTATTTCATGCACTCTCCGTGGAACTGTTTGATGTGAAGGCAAGTCACTACCAAAAGTATATTCTAAAAAGGGAGCCTAATTTGTAACCTTATCAGTTGGATTAGTGGGATTTTCAACAGAGGATATATTGTCGGAAATTTTGTTCATTGCATAATATTCCCAGATTTTTGTGTACCATTGGGAGATTGCCAATGGGTTAGCATCTTTCCATCTATGCGCAAGTCCAGTTTTAGCTGCTGTTAATAGTATTGAAATAAGTTCTTGATGTATTTTTGGTATTTGGGAATCTTGCCAGAGATCTAACAGAAATAATTTCAGACACTTTGGAATATCATACCCAGTTATGTCTTTTATGGAACAGGAAATCTTAGATCAGAATGCTTTAACTATTTTGCAGGTCCACCAACAGTGGATAAATGAGCCTCTCAGCTGTATAATTTCCAGTATTCCTTAAGATAAGTGTGTCTTTCCAGAGCCACAGTGGCAGAGCCACAGTGGCAGAGTCAGCAGAAATATCAATACATTTAATCTCTCACTGTTGTATAATTCCTCCTTCATTTACATTTCCATCTTTAGGTCAGTCAGAAGGCAAGCAAAGCCATCATCTCAGCTTCACAGTTCAGTTTTCGTTTGCCTCCTGATTCCTTAACATGTCCACCGTGCAGTCCAGCAAAGACAGAAGATATCGAGTTGGTATGATGTATTAAGTCTCTACTTATTCATAGCTAAGAGCAGATACTTTGGTGAAATGAGATCTGGGTGGCCTATTGAGCTCACATTTGCAGTGTACATCCTATGGAACCTATACACATTCCAGAATTTCTAGTGGTGGCTGAAATAGGTGTCTCAAGGCATTGGTTTGCAAATGCTAGTGCCTGGAGTTGAGACTTTGAGTCAGTTGTGACAAGGTATTTGTGGGCAGCTTACACAAAACACTACAATTGATGGAAACTAAGAGTCTACAGAAGGGAATTAGATGATCAAGTATGAGTGTACAATCTGCAAATAACATTGCTAATGTGAGTAGACCATTTATACCAGGGGTGTCGAACTCATTTGTTATGAAGGCCAGATCTGACATAAATGAGACCTTGTTGGGCCGGGCCATGTGTGTCATAAAATGTAATGCCAGGTAGCAGAGATATAAACTTGATAAAGGACACAAACACAAAGGGTTTTTTTACTTAAAATAAAAACATGCTTAAAACATTAGCACTCTTGCGATATTTTGTTTATTTAATGGTGTCTGATCACTGACACCTCTTACTCTGAATTATTGAATCAAAATGTCTGTGCTGTTGCAATCTTGAGTATGCTGTTCAGGTGTGTATCTGTAAGCTGCAAACCTACAATGACCCAGCAGCAAGCAGAACTGGAAGAAGAAGCAGAAGACAGCCAGCTCCACTGCAGGCCTGATAGAATCCCTCCAGGGGCCTGATCCGGCCCCTGGGTTGCATGTTTGACTCCCCTGGTTCACAACTGAGAGCCAGTTTGGTGTAGTGGTTAAGTGCGCGGACTCTAATCTGGGAGAACCAGGTTGGATTCCCCACTCCTCCACTTGCACCTGCTGATGTGACCTTGGGTTAGTCACAAGCTCTGGCACAGCTGTCCTGGAAAAAGAGCAGTTTCTGTCAAGAGTTCTCTCAGCCCCACCCACCTCACAGGGTGTCTGTTGTGGGGAGGGGAAGGGAAAGGAGCTTGTAAGCCGCTCTGAGACTCCAAGTGAAGGGCGGGGTATAAATCCAATCTCTTCTCTTCTTCTATACTGTCAGTGCTTTTGTACAGTCAGCTTCTAAAGTTAGTAAGGTTCTGGATACTCCACTCATTTACAGAGGTGTCAACAGACTCTCTGGCTTAGAAACAGAACTTGGGAGGATTTCTCACTCAGTTTCCCTCCTTCCACATTCTGAGAGTCTGTACTATTTTTGTTAGCTTTGTCAAAGAAAGACAAAATATTTTTCAAAGCTGTTGAATTCTTTATTGTACAATCACAGGAGAGAGCAAAAACAGAATAGCAAAAAGTTACTGCCTCCAAGCCCATTTTATACTTCTTGAAGATGGACATGCTCAACGCAAACCTAAAAGTAACATTTTCCATTTCTGACAGATTTTCTGCTAACTTTCTTGTTCTGACAACTTTTCCTATTTGAGCCAGAAAATTGTATTTTTGATATGTGACAAAGGCTAACCAAACTCCCACAAGGCATTTCGCTCCCATCACGTAGGCAAAGGCGAGCAGCATTTTTCCCATGGGAGTTTGGCTGATCAAGAGAAGTCAAGGTGGAGGTAATTTGTACATAAAAGAGGTCAGCATTTGGTCTCTTCAGAGATACCACAAAGAATGTAATTTTTTCTCACTACCTGTTCATTTGAAGAGATAACAGCTGGGGCCTGGCTTATCTCACAAGTGTAACAAAACAACATGAAGTCAAAGAAACTGAGTCTTGCGTTCGAAATGTATACCATCACATGTAAATTTGTGTTGCCATATGTACAAATACTGCCAACAAAAGTCCGCATGGTCAAAGCAATGGTATTCCCAGTAGTCATGTATGGCTGCGAGAGTTGGACTATAAGGAAGGCCGAGTGCCGAAGAATAGATTCTTTTGAACTATGGTGCTGGAGAAGACTCTTGAGAGTCCCTTGGACTGCAAGAAGATCAAATCAGTCAATCCTAAAGGAAATAAACCCTGACTGTTCCCTGGAAGGCCAGATAATGAAACTGAAGCTCAAATACTTTGGCCACCAAATGAGAAGGGAGCACTCACTGGAGAAGACCCTAATGCTGGGAAAGATTGAAGGTCAAAGAAGACGGGGACGGCAAAGGATGAGATGGT